AAAACTTTAATTGCAGGTCTTCTTAAAGTCTTTTAGAACACAAGTCTATTGAAAGTCTTTTAAAAGCTTTATTTTGGCTTAGTTTACAAGACATTCAATGAAACTATTTTTTTATGCTTTTAAAAGCTTTAATTGTGCAAATTTTTTAAGATTTTTGTAAGTTTTATTCATTGGACAATTAAATGTGTTTTAAAAGTTTTTTTCCCATAAGTTGAGTAGAGGTATTATAAAAGCTTTTAGTTGTTTTTAAGTCTTTTAGAATAAATTTTATCATTTTAATTTAAAGTAAACTTCTTGGATAGAAGCCAAATAACTATTTAGAAAATTATCTTAATATGAAATTTTCTTTTTACCAAATCTTTACAAATTGTTGTAGTAACAAATACACTTTCTTAACATAACCAGTGACTTTTAACGTTTAAGTGAGTTTTAACTAAAAAGGGGGGAAGTTTTTATAAAAATTACTTTACTCTTGTTTTGTCAATATTGACAGTTTTTTCTGTCTAATGAAAGGGATTCAATATGTTTTCTATATAATAGATGAGATGTACAGTCATGTCGTTTTCAATTCCCCTCTGATATTGAGCATGATTTGCTGTATTTGTATTGTAAGTAAATGAATGTTGATTTTAAGGGTGGTTATAAGAAATAAGACCTAAGTTGAATGATCTTTAAGAATGTAGAACTTTTAAAAATTAAAAGAACTTTAAGGGATTTTTACTGCTAAAAAGCTTTTACCATTTTCTTTATATTGTTTTTATCTAAAACTCTATTTGCTCCATTAAGCCTTGTTATCTAATATGACTTTTGATGGAAAATCTTATCAAAACTAAGTCCTCTTTGATTACTTTAACATCTCTTACTTTGGCTAGAAAATGACAACTGAAGCATCTGTATAACCAAAGCTTTTTTCAAGCACAATACTATATACTAGTCTTTTTAATGTGCTATATATTTAATAACCCCAAAAAACTTCATATAAAGCATGTGTGCTTTTGATACCAAAGTGTCCACTTTTTTTCCCAAAAATAGAAGAAGAAAAAAGACTTACACCACAAACCATTACTGTGAGCCAAGTGTCCCGTTGTTAGAGGTGTACAACAAGAGGCAGCAGTCATCATCTCTAGCATAACACCTTTAATATAGCAACAACGACATGTGCTATGAGTACTTAAGTAAAAAAAAAAAACTAACAAAATTCATAGAAATTATAAAGTGAAGTGGTCAGTCGATTGGTCGTTTGGTCATCACAACACATGGCCATGTTAAGAGCAATAGAAAAAAAGCTGTGACTTTTTCTTTTTTTTTTCTCCATATATATCTAGCTTTTGCTGGCTTTTTATAGAGAAAAGAAAGTCCAGTGTTAGACATGAATGTGAAAGATACATGGAGAAGACAAAAAACAATGCTAAAGGGGACCAACTAGTAGCAAAAAACAAGAGATTCAAAAGCTTTAATAGAAAATTTAAGTAAAAGCTTTAAGTTGTTGATGTTTTATAAAAATTTAAACTGCTTTTAAGGTTTAAAGCAGCTTTAATGTAGTGCCGTTTAAAGTATTTTAAAGGTTTAAACGAAGAGCTTTTCAAGATTAATGCACTTCAATCTTGAACTTTTGAAAAGCTCTTCGTTCAAAGCTCGGTTTGAAGAAATTTAAAAGCTTTTAAGGTTTTAGTAAGCCTTAATGTAATGCCGTTTAAATTATTCTAAAATTTCAATTGAAGAGCTTTTCAAAAGTTCAAGATTGAAGTGCATTAAAAGCTCGGACTCTTCAAACTTCAAGAAGCTTTCAAGAATTTCTTAAAGCTTTAATAATAGATCTCTTGTTAGGCTTTTGAAAGCTTTATTTAGAAATGTTAATTATATGTTTTGAAAGCTTCAATTGTAGCTTCATTTAATGAAGTTTGAAAGCTTTCACAGTAGACCTTTCTTTAAAATCATCAAAAAGCTTTAATAGAAGATCTCTTAAAGGCCCTTTGAAAGCTTTAACGAGAAGGGTTAATGTAGTCCTTTAAAAAGTTTCAATTGTAGGACTTCTTGAAGTAATTTAAAAGCTTCCATAGTAGATTTCTTTCATATAATTTCAGAGCTTTAATCGAAAGTCTATATAATGCTCTTGAAAGCTTCAAAGATAAGTTTTAATAGTCTTTTAAAAAAAATATTTCAAAATTTTAAACAAAGGTCTTTTAAAGGCGCTTTGAAAATTGCTCCTACAAGTGTTAATACAATATTTTAAAAAGTTTCAATTGTAGGTCTTACTGAAGTCATTTAAAAGCTTAAGTAGTGGAACACTGTGAAATAATTTTAAAGTTTCTATAGTAGCGACCTCTTTAAAGTCATTTCAAAGCTTTAATTGAAGATCTTTAAAAAGGCCTTATAAAAGCTTCAATGTTAAGTGATAAGGCAGTTTTTAAAAAGCTTTAATTGTAGGGTTCGCTGAATATTCGTTTAAAAGCTTCAATAGTACATCTATTTAAATAATTTCAAAGCTGTATTGGAAGGTTAAAGGTCGCATTGAAAGCGTCAGCAATACAGTATACAGTTTCAATTGGAGGACTTACTGTAGTCATTTAAAAGCATCGGTAAAAAACCTCGGCAAAACTTTAAAGTTTTATTCGAAGGTCTTTTAGAAACTCTTCAAAGAGTTTCAATTGTTAGATTTGTTGAAGTCATTTAAACTCTTCAATAATGGACCTTTTTAAACCCGTACCAAAGCTTTAATTGTAGATCTTTTAAAGGCTCTTTGAAATTCAATTATAGGACTTGCCAAAATCATTTAAAAGCTTTTATCATAGCTAGTTTAGAAAATTTTATAAAACTGTAATTGAAAGTTTGTTAAAGCTTCTTTTTAACGCATAAATCGTATAGTTTCTTTAAAGCTTTAAGCATGAGGCTCTTGAATGGCTTCTAAGGCATAGCTTTTCAAATACCTTAAGCATGGATCTATTGAAAGGCTTTTGCAAATATCAGTTGTAGGTCTTCTGAAAGTCTCTCAAAAGCTTTAATAATTTATTGTTTCAAAGACTTTTAAAAGCTTTAAGCATTGATCTCTTCTAAAGGCTAGTTTATTTTAAAGACTTATGCCGACTTCATTTGTAGGTCTTCTGAAAGTCTCTCAAAAGCTTTAATCATTTATTTTTTAAAAGCTTCAATTGTATAAATTTTTGAAGAGGTTCGAAAACTTCTAATGGATAGCTTTTCAAAAGCCTTAACCCTGGATCTTTTGAAAAGTTTTTAAAAGCTTCAATCGTAGACCATTTTAAAGACTATTAAAAGAATTAATTATAGGACTTTTAAAGGTCTCTTTAAGCTTTAAACGTAGATCTTTTAGATTTTTTTAAAGACTTTAATTATAGAGCTTTTAGAAACTTTAATCGTAGAACTTTGGAAAGTTTAAATCACATTTCTATTGAAAGACTTTTAAAAGCTTTTAGAAACTTCAATCGTAGATCTTTGGAAAGCCTCACTAAAGTTTAAATCATCTATCTATTGAAAGACTTTTAAAAGCTTTAATCGTATGATTTTTAAAACACTTTTGAAAACATCAATTGCTGATGTTTTGAAAGCCTTTCAGGGATCTTTTTAAAAACTTCCAAAAGCTTCATTTGTAGCTCTTTTGAAAGACTTATTTAAAGCCCTTTGAAAACTTCAATGGTAACTTTTCCAAAAGCTTTAATTATCAAACTTTTGAAAGCTTTAATTGTAGATATTTTTAAAGCTTAAAGCTTTTTACATACATTTAAAAGCTTCAATCATATGCTTATTTAAAGCCCTTCAAAAACATAAATTGTAACTTTTCCAAAAGCTTTAATTATCAAACTTTTGAAAGGTGTTTAAAAGCTTTAATTGTAGATGTTTTTAAAGCTTTTCTTATAACTGGGAGACTTTCTAAAGTTCTTTGAAAGCTTTTGTAGTAAGTCAAATATGATCTTCAGTTGAAGATGGTAACTTTTTTCCTCTTGCTCTTCTTTTCCCCCTTTTTTGACAACAGTTGGTCTCATTATTAAACTAGTCAAATAAAAAAACTAGACTATTTGTTGTCCGGAGGCCAAGAAGTAAAACTAAGCAGAAAACCAGTCAACATTAAATAGGTCCCCTTGGTATTTAACAATGTGTGCTTACTGCAAAACCATACAAATCTTTAGATATAAATTTTTAAGGCAACCTAGAAAATGACAAAAACGTGCTGAAATAAAAACCAGACATAAAACAAATATTATTGAAATTGCACTAGAAAATATCAAAAAAAAAAAAACTAAGAAGATTATTAAGACAAAGAGTTTTCTATATAACTAAAAATTAATGAAAAAATTTTTTTATTAAACTATAATTTTAAATCTTACATTTTTTAACACTTTTTTTACGAAAAAGTTTTATTTATTTTTGTACAGATTGTATAGCAATTGGTCCCTTAGCAACCTTAAGCTGTACGTTTTTATTATAAGATTTTTAGCATTAATTTTAATGTTGGTGTTAAACGTTTCCCCCAAAAAAAAACACACATACACATTTTTATGTCAATATTGGAACGTGATTAATTTTTGGGTGGAAAAAAAGATTTTAACATAAAAGTGTTAAAATTTGCTTCAAAATAGGTGTTAAGAAACAGAAGGTTAAAAGCTATTCTATACAATTTTTAAAATTTATACTAAATTTTTCAATTTTTTTCACAATTTAAAAGCTTAAGCTGTCTAGATTTTATAAATTAAAAATCAACTTATTTCCTAAAATGTTGCCAAAGTTGCAAAACTTTTGAAAGGAAAAGAAAATTTCAAAAATATATGTTTTTAATACTTTATTTAGTTTAAGTTTGAAAGCTACTTTCTAAAAAATTTTATAATATTTTAAAAGCTTTAGATAACTAGACTTTATGCCGCTAAATTTGGCTTTCTACTTAAAAGCTCGCCAAAGTTAGACAACTTTAAAGTAGTATAAATATAATAATTTTTTGATTAAAAATATTTTTTATTAATTTTCTTTTTCCCTCTTTATTCTACTTCCAGCTTGGGACATTGGCAACTCGGTACAAGACGCCTTTGTTATAGCGGTTGAGGAGCATGCCAGGGAACGTTTGCAGCGTTTAGCGGCCTTAAATCGTGTAACACCGGTGGATATAACACAGCTATCGAAAAAGGTAAGAAAAGTTTAATAATTTATAGAAAAACACCATAAAAGCTTTAGGCTTTTTAACAAAGTTTTCCGAAAGTTATTTTAAAGCTTTTAAAGCTTCATTTTTAAACTCTTTAAAGTTTGACTTTTCAACTTTTGAAAATCTTTAAAAAGCTTTAAAGATACAATATCAAAAAGCTTCAATCAAAAAGCTTTATTTAGTAATTTAAAAACATTTATCAAATGACAATTTTTAAGCTTTCTTAATCTTTAAAAGTTTAGACTCTAAGACTATTTAACGCTTAAATTTTAGCTTTTTTAGCACGATTTCAAAAAGCTTCAATCCTAAAGCTTTATATAGTTATTTAAAAGTTATAAACGAATGGAAATTTAAAGCTTATATTGCTTTTGAAATGTTTTGTTGAAAGTCATTTAAAAGCTTAGGCAGTACAACGGCTGTTTTCGGTTTAAAAGCTTTAATCGCAAGATTTTTAAAAGCTTCAATCATATAGCTTTTTATATTAATTATAAAAATTTATTTCAAAGACTAACGCTTAACTTTAAGCTTTTATCGTACGATTATAACAAGTTTCCATCACAGAGCTTTATATAGTTATTTGAAAGCATTAAACGAATGGAAATTTGAAGCTTATATTGCTTTTGAAATGTTTTCATTATAGTTTTGTTGAAAGTCATTTAAAAGCTTAAGTAATACCAGATTTTTTGTTGGTTTAAAAGCTTTAATCGCAAGATATTCAAAAGCTTCAATCATAGAGCTTTTTATATTAATTGTACATATTTACTCCGAAGACCATTTAACGCTTAACTTTAAGCTGTTGAAAGTCATTTAAAAGTTTTAGTAATATAACCTTTTTTTGTCGGTTTAAAAGCTTTAATCATAAGATTTTCAAAAGCTTCAATCATAGAGCTTTTTATAATAACTATATTTATTTATTTCGAAGAATAGTTAAATTTTAATTTATGCTTTTATCTTACTATTGCAAAAAGTTGCCATCAAAGAGCTTTATATAGTTATTCAAGAGCTTTGATTAAATCGGAATTTTAAGCTTATATTGACTCTTAAATGTTTTCATTATAGTTCTGATGAAAGTCATTTAAAAGCTTAGGTAGTATAACGTCATATAATCTTCAGAAGCTTCAATCAATGAGCTTCTATCGAATGGAAATTTTAAGCTTATATTGCTTTTTAAATGTTTTCATTCTCGGTCGGCTGACAGTCATTTAAAAGCTTTAGTAATATAACGCTTTTTTGTCGATTTAAAAGCTTTAATTACAAGATGCTTTAATGAATAAGTTTTTTATATTAATTATAAAAAATTACTGCGAAGACTATATAAAGCTTTAGAGCTTTTGTTTCAAGTTATTTTAACATCTCATGAAAAGCTTCATTTACAGGTCCTTTAAAACTGTTCTAAAATAGTTTCTATTTCAAGTTATTTAACGTCTCGTTAAAATCTTTAGTGAGAGAAACTTTTCAAAAAGCTTTAATTGTGCTTTAATTTCAAGTATTTCTTATATTATCTCAAAAGCTTTAGTTTGTTTAGAAATGTAACAAGTTTTACGTTTAAGTTGCAAGGGCTTTCTAAGGTTTCTTAAAAGCTTCCAAGAAAACACTTTAAAAACTCATTTGTTTAAAGCTTTTTATGTTCTAGAGTTCATTATATTTCAGTTTAAAAAAGACTAAATCCTATTATTTAAAAGTTTACTCCGTTTTTCCACCAAATTTTAATCCTTTTGAATTGCTCTCCTAACTGTTTAATTTTTCTCTAAATACATAAATCAATTGACCATCAAATAGTCCTGTAATATCGTTATTAACTGTGAACATGATTTTACATGCCTGTAAATTGTACAGCAAAAAAAAAAAAGAACAACAAAATCTAACTAACTGAAAACAGAACACCCACTTCCTAACACCCAAACAATGCAGTGTAACAACAAATTAAAAACAAGAGCATAGAAAAAACAAACAGTTAGCTAGTGAAAGAGTTTAACTTGGCACAACATAAAATGGGGAGGGAGAACAATTACACAGAGCGCGCGAGTTTAATTCGTGTGTGTGTGGGTGGTAAAGGCGAGCTTTAAGCTGTAATAAAAAGAATGCATTTTGTATTGATTAAGAGTGTGTGTGTGTGAGTGTCTCTACTGGGAGATAATGTACTTAAATTCATAATGGAACATGTTTGTATAAATGTATGTAAAATTTAGCATAAATGAGCTTAGTAGTAGTATTCTCATATTAAAGTAATTTTCTGTGAGTGCTTGTGTAGGTGTATAGGTATAAAGAGTGGAGAGAGGGGATGGGTGGAGGTGCCTGTAGTTAATTGAGATTACACTGGCAAAAATGGTAGACATTTTAAGAAAAATCAATGAAAAGTTTTAAATTTTTTTCATGTTTGAAAATTTCTAGTCTATAGTCTAGTCTATAGTCTAGTCCATAGTCTAGTCTATAGTCTAGTCTATAGTCTAGTCTATAGTCTAGTCTATAGTCTAGTCTATAGTCTAGTCTATAGTCTGGTCTATAGTCTAGTCTATAGTCTAGTCTATAGTCTGGTCTATAGTCTAGCCTATAGTCTAGTCTATAGTCTAGTCTATAGTCTAGTCTATAGTGTAGTCTATAGTCTAGTCTAAAGTCTAGTCTATAGTGTAGTCTATAGTCTAGTCTATGGTGTAGTCTATAGTCTAGTCTATAGTCTAGTCTATAGTCTAGTCTATAGTCTAGTCTATAGTCTAGTCTATAGTCTAGTCTATAGTCTAGTCTATAGTCTAGTCTATAGTCTAGTCTATAGTCTAGTCTATAGTCTAGTCTATAGTCTAGTCTATAGTCTAGTCTATAGTCTAGTCTATAGTCTAGTCTATAGTCTAGTCTATAGTCTAGTCTATAGTCTAGTCTATAGTCTATAGTCAGTCTATAGTCTAGTCTATAGTCTAGTCTATAGTCTAGTCTATAGTCTAGTCTATAGTCTATAGTCAAGTCTATAGTCTAGTCTATAGTCTAGTCTATAGTCTGTCTATAGTCTAGTCTATAGTCTAGTCTATAGTCTAGTCTATAGTCTAGTCTATAGTCTAGTCTATAGTCTAGTCTATAGTCTAGTCTATAGTCTAGTCTATAGTCTAGTCTATAGTCTAGTCTATAGTCTAGTCTATAGTCTAGTCTATAGTCTAGTCTATAGTCTAGTCTATAGTCTAGTCTATAGTCTAGTCTAGTCTAGTCTATAGTCTAGTCTATAGTCTAGTCTATAGTCTAGTCTTATCTAGTCTATAGTCTAGTCTATAGTCTAGTCTATAGTCTAGTCTATAGTCTAGTCTATAGTCTAGTCTATAGTCTAGTCTAGTCTAGTCTATAGTCTAGTCTATAGTCTAGTCTATAGTCTAGTCTATAGTCTAGTCTTAGTCTAGTCTATAGTCTAGTCTATAGTCTAGTCTATAGTCTAGTCTATAGTCTAGTCTATAGTCTAGTCTATAGTCTAGTCTATAGTCTAGTCTATAGTCTAGTCTATAGTCTAGTCTATAGTCTAGTCTATAGTCTAGTCTATAGTCTAGTCTATAGTCTAGTCTATAGTCTAGTCTATAGTCTAGTCTAGTCTAGTCTATAGTCTAGTCTATAGTCTAGTCTATAGTCTAGTCTATAGTCTAGTCTATAGTCTAGTCTATAGTCTAGTCTATAGTCTAGTCTATAGTCTAGTCTATAGTCTAGTCTATAGTCTAGTCTATAGTCTAGTCTATAGTCTAGTCTATAGTCTAGTCTATAGTCTAGTCTATAGTCTAGTCTATAGTCTAGTCTATAGTCTAGTCTATAGTCTAGTCTATAGTCTAGTCTATAGTCTAGTCTATAGTCTATCTATAGTCTAGTCTATAGTCTAGTCTATAGTCTAGTCTATAGTCTAGTCTATAGTCTAAGTCTATAGTATATAGTCTAGTCTATAGTCTAGTCTATAGTCTAGTCTATAGTCTAGTCTATAGTCTAGTCTATAGTCTAGTCTATAGTCTAGTCTATAGTCTAGTCTATAGTCTGTCTATAGTCTAGTCTATAGTCTAGTCTATAGTCTAGTCTATAGTCTAGTCTATAGTTCAGTCTATAGTCTAGTCTATAGTCTAGTCTATAGTCTAGTCTATAGTCTATAGTCGTCTAGTCTATAGTCTAGTCTATAGTCTAGTCTATAGTCTAGTCTATAGTCTAGTCTATAGTCTAGTCTATAGTCTAGTCATAGGTCTAGTCTATAGTCTAGTCTATAGTCTAGTCTATAGTCTAGTCTATAGTCTAGTCTTAGTCTAGTCCTATAGTCTAGTCTTATAGTCTAGTCTATAGTCTAGTCTTAGTCTATAGTCTAGTCTATAGTCTAGTCTATAGTCTAGTCTATAGTCTAGTCTATAGTCTAGTCTATAGTCTAGTCTATAGTCTAGTCTATAGTCTAGTCTATAGTCTAGTCTATAGTCTAGTCTATAGTCTAGTCTATAGTCTAGTCTATAGTCTAGTCTATAGTCTAGTCTATAGTCTAGTCTATAGTCAAGTCTATAGTCAAGTCTATAGTCTAGTCTATAGTCTAGTCTATAGTCTAGTCTATAGTCTAGTCTATAGTCAAGTCTATAGTCAAGTCTATAGTCTAGTCTATAGTCAAGTCTATAGTCTAGTCTTTAGTCTAGTCTATAGTCTAGTCTATAGTCTAGTCTATAGTCTTGTCTATAGTCTAGTCTATAGTCTAGTCTATAGTCTAGTCTATAGTCTAGTCTATAGTCTAGTCTATAGTCTAGTCTATAGTCTAGTCTATAGTCTAGTCTATAGTCTAGCTATAGTCTAGTCTATAGTCTAGTCTATAGTCTAGTCTATAGTCTAGTCTATAGTCTAGTCTATAGTCTAGTCTATAGTCTAGTCTAGTCTATCTAGTCTATAGTCTAGTCTATAGTCTAGTCTATAGTCTAGTCTATAGTCTAGTCTATAGTCTAGTCTATAGTCTAGTCTATAGTCTAGTCTATAGTCTAGTCTATAGTCTAGTCTATAGTCTA